CAGTGCATTTTACGTTTTGAGTTTATATCTCGCTTTATGTATAATATAAAAATTCATCAATGTTATTATAGTCTTATTGAAATCCGCGCTAACTTGAGAATGCAAGTAGCAACCAGTGGTAAAATTTTAATTAATCACGCCATACAATACAATAATATTAATATTTTACAATATTTAGCATTACTACATTATATTAACAATGTCGGTGTTTTCTTGGCCATACCTGGCATTTATAATCATATGAAAAATGTATTGGAAAAGGGTCTAGGCGAGCGTCTCACCAATTCGACCACCGATGCATATGATAATATTATATATTGTGACAATAGAGGGAAAACTTAAAAATCGCGTATTTAACAGTTCTGTGTACGGCCGACAACCCTTATCGGCGCGCAGTTAAAATAAGTTGAAAAAATGAACGCGTAGACAGCAACCCTGGCGAAAATAATATGTTTATAAGAAGTTTGTTTAAATGTTGAGTCAATGTTTTATTTGAGTTTTAAAACATTTATTGAATTGTTTGTGAGATATAAATTTAAACATGACATATTCACAGTTACAAGTGTTCAAATTGCGTTTAATGATACAATATTAAACGTTTCCGTTATAGTTTTCTAAGTGTTTGTAAAATGTTATTGTCAGTAAAGAATTAACCAGGTGTTTGGCAACGTACTTCCAAACGATGTTACCACTAATAAAAAACTCTTCATAAACAATATAACTATCGATAAAACTCCTCAGAAATAAATATAAACATTATCTCTCATTTAAAATGGTCGCTAGGGATCTTTATATTGTTATTGCGACAAATATGATATCTGTCGCAATTATTCAATGAATAATTTGTTAAAATCGAATTGGTGGGACGCCCGTCTGTGTAGGGAGGTTCGGATTTAAACCCTGGCTGAAGTAATATTTGTTGCAATAAATTTTCTGTATTATTAAAAATACCAGGTATGATCAAGAAAACACTGACGTTGTTAATTACCGCTGGCGACATTGAAGAATTCTTATTAGTCGATTACTATATTATTATTATTATAATAACAGAGTGTAGGGAGGTTCGGGTTTAAACCCTGGCTGAAGTAATATTTGTTGGAATAAATTTTCTGTATTATTAAAACTACCAGGTATGTCAAGAAAACACTGACGTTGTTAATTACCGCTGGCGACATTGAAGAATTCTTATTAGTCGTTATTATTATATTATAATCATTTTGACTCGTGATGTTATATCTACTTGCGCTGCGTTTTTTTTTGTACTACCGTCTATGAATTTATTACAATTTTATATCACTGACTGCGTAATCTATGTATATTTTGATTTCGCGAATCAATATATATTTTTAATTGCATTTATTGTTTTTTCGTTATACTAAAGATGGTCCAATAAGGACCAAAACGTATATATGCATTTGCTATTATAATAAAGTAATTTTATCGGACATTACAACCTTGTTCAGGCTCTGAGCCCCTTCTATTATTCTTTGATTATAATAACATTGTTATATTATTATTAATTATATCAACACTATAGTTGTATGCCTACACATAAGTTTATTAAGAATTCAGAAGAACACAATTTTATCGTAATGTTGACTTTCAAGAGCTTTTATTTATCTTAATGTCTTTAAAACTATTATACGAATCTGCGTAAGACATGTAGAAAATTATATCGCAATAACGTGATGTTAAGGAGAGAAAGAGAGAGAAAGAGCGCGGCGTGATGAGAGACAAGGATGTAGACGCCCAGGCGGTGCTGCGCCGTTCGTTCGAGCGCCGCGCGCGACAACCTCTTGCCGTCATGCGATCCTGTTCGGATATATTTTCTTGCAAATCACCGGCTGGCCCGACGTTTAAATTATCCGTTAACAATGGCAAATTTATTCGCGCGGGACGGACGAGCGAGTTCAGTACGCCGTCCGCCGCGGGATCGATCGGCGCCGCCGTTTCGGCGACCGGCCGCTTTAGTTCGGGAAACGGACGCTACGTGGCGAATACACTGAGCGCTTACTCGGTGTTAAAATTACGTGTCGACTAGTATGAATACCAGCCAGCGAGCGAGTATCGTCAGCTTTGCGCAGTGGCGATATCGTAACCAATGAAGTTCTACTGAGGTGCGATTATTGCTAGTTGAAAACTTTTACCAATACCCCGCCATGACGATGTGAAATACCATCGGCTACGGCAATTTTTGCAAGTTTCTGCGGAAACTGGTAATCGAATAATCAAACATAACAGAGAATGGGACAGAGAAGCCTCGAGATTAACTTCTCGCGCGCTCTCGTCTACTCTCGTCTTTCCTCGGTAGGTGAAGAAATATTTTTAACCTAGGGAGAGAGAGAGAGAGAGAGAGAGAGAGAGAGAGAGAGAGAATTCTTGACACGTTCTTTCGTCCCACATCTCAATCTTATCTCTGGTATTTTTACATATTTATCTGTTATCTATTTTTCCTGGATATTTTACATATAGTAAAGGCCAGCCGTCTTTACCAACGAAACAAATTGTAAAATCAAATAAAACGCATGTGTTGACTTGATAATAATTCAAAGCTAGCTAAAATTTTTTCCAATAAAAATAAAATAATTTTCCTCGTTTCAAGATAGGATATCTTTTATTTTGTACTTGTTTGGACAAAAGAAATTCAAATGCATTGATAATATCGTAACATAATATAGTATAATAATCATAATTATAACAATAAGTTAATATTAATAATTTTTAAGGTTATAATAATAAGAAATTAATATCGAGTAAATTAATAAAGAATATTAGAGTCCCATATAGCAACACAAAGATTGCACACATATGCAGGAAAAACCTTTTACCACAATGGTGTAAATATTTAAAATTCATTCATGTGTTACTGTAGCATTTAGAACAAGAAAACAAGACAGTTCATGTAACGTAAAACAGTTTAAGAAAGGACCAACTAACGAATGACAAGATTAAATAATTATAAAAAAATGTTAAAATATATTATCTGACTTAAAATCTATACAATTTATAAATGCACAAATTTTATTAAATATCTCATAAATATTTCATATACGCACTTTTATTTTCTATTATTTATTAGAAAAAAAATAAAATTATATATTATAATATTATTATGATAAATAATTTACATTTTTCAGGAGAAAAATAACTATAAATTTTTACTTTCCTCGCTAAAAGCTATCTTTATTTTAATGTAAAATAGAAAATGAGATCTTTTCTGCCAAAATTAAACACAAGAGAAATATAAAAGGAATAACATTCATCTCTTTTGTGCCTCAATAGTTGTCAAGTATCACTGTGTCATTGTTTTTCTAAATAAGTTTAGATAAATTGGGTAACACATGCATCTTTATCGATATTACAGAATAAAACTTTCAACATAATACATTTAATTATTCAATATTAATTTATTATTATGTTACAATATTATTAAATATTAATTTATTATCGTAACGTTTCTTTTTCCATAGATTTATAGTTTCCTACATTCTAATTGTGAGTTTCTTTTTGATCACAGGTCGCTGGCAAGCGCGAAGCGAGCCAAGAAGCTGAAGCCCAGCAATGGATGGAGACGGTAATCGGCGGAAGATTTCCACCAGGTGGGCTTCTAAAATAATTTAATTAATACAATATTTCATTTTAATTCTCATAGAAAAATATCCGTATAGTACGGTCGTGTCGTTTCGTATTTATATATTTTTAAATTTATAAATTTCAAGGAACAAGAAGATGCTCTCTGTAGTAAAACATTATTTATTTTGTCAACCAACGACATGACTAAAATTTTATCTACTACGAATATTTGAAATAACATGCGACACTTATAACATAATTTTACAATTACATTTATGAAAAAGAACTTATTGAACAAGCCGTTTATCGCAAACCCTTTTCGGGTTATTATTTAAACAAAACAAATAGCGCGTTTGTGAAATAATTTTTTCAACGCGTACATATTCTAACGCGCTTTTTTCCCCCACTGAATAAACTTCGACAGTCTTACGTAAGGGCCACACATTTAATGACTCTACGAACGCATATGAACTCCTGTTCCGCGTAGGCGACGCGAATCCGAAAGCGTTTCGATGTTTTCATCCCCCGTCGGGGGGACGCTCAGCCGAAGGGATGGAAGGGCGTGCCGCTATCTAACTAGAATCACATAATTGCCGGATACAAATGTCAGGCCGCGTGACGTCGCAAAGGTTAAGCTTCGTCGAGGTCAGTTCCCCCGTATAGTACACCTGTCGTATGATCGAAAATGCAATCGCGGCGCGGTACGCACCACGATATTGATCTCGAGTGCCTGACGGTGTAGCTGTGCGAGACACGTTGTGATCCCGTTTGGACGTTAATTCAAATTCGCGCGTTACGATTGTCGCGAGTGAAATCGTCGAAGCAAACTTTAAAAAAATAGATGTAAACGCAAACAGTAAACACAAATGCTTAATTTGCACGTAAAATTCTATTAAAAGAGAAATATAATGTATTATACCTACACCTCTAATTAGCGTCCAAGAGAGAGAGAAATTAATATTTCTAATCGTACGGCGATTTTCGTTTGTTTCTTAATTCGTACGAAACTCATTGGGTTATATACGAGGCTCCGTTTATGGATTTCCTGGTTTAACGCGCCATTTGTCTTTCATAAGCCTTGATGCTCTTTACGGAGCTATAGTCGCTCGAACGAAAACTGAGCGCGAGCTTATGGCCTGCGTCGAAATCGTGTCAACTATTTTTATGAGATTACTGAACTCTGCCCCCGAACCACCAGGGGTAGTTTCACCCTCCTGTCGCGTTATACTCGCCTGGCAAAACGCGCGCTTTGTTACGTCATTGCGAGCCACCCTATCGAGCATGCCTCGGCGGACAACCCTCGATTCGACATACACCCCTGTTGCGACAAACACGCCAGGCGTCGACGCAATCGGCATTACTTTACGTACGTTTGCGCGGTTTCGTTTACTCTTTCCGCTCATTTTCTCACCTACGAGTACTTTGAACGAGACGGACGCGGCTGGATAAGTAGACCGAAGATCGGCATCTTATGCGAAATCGTGATCGTCGATATATCGTTTTTCATGACGCTACGTTATATTCGATGTGAAATAGCGGTTATAATTAACAGTTTGTAAATAAAACGCCATTCTCGATACGTAATTAATGAAATAAAATTGTTACAAGAGAAACAGAGAGGAAGAGAGAGAGAGAGAGAGAGAGAGAGAGAGAAATGAGAGAACTCTTCATTTATAAAAAGAACTTCATTTCTTAAGTTATCGATTATTGAATAGTTCATCAGTACATAAATAGCACAAAGTTTCATTTATTTATTACGCATTAGAATTATTATGTAAAGAGGAAAGTCCTTTATTATGAGATAGGATTCTAATATGAGATAGTAGGTTTTCAACGTCCAAATTCAATCACAAATCTTTTTACGCGGCGATCCAACAATCAATTTTCCACTAAACAGATGTCACTCCAAGAGCAATAAATTCACGGTGGAACCAACAGACGGTGCCTATTAATTTAGCAGAAACTCCGCTATGTCATATTAGCAGCCTATCTCATAATAGGGGACCTTTCCCTACTATACGCGAAGTAGAAATATTAATTCGTAACTTGGCCCAACAAGTTCACAAAGTATTATGAAAAACTGAGCAACGAACTTAATAATATTTTCAGCGCATTTAAACGAGTCGGAGGTAAATAAGCCTAATAAATTTTTATCGAAACTTGGACGGGGCTCTTGCTGCTGCCCGAACAATCGCAAGGATTCGTCGCGGGCGGTCGTGGAGCGGCCACCGCGAATGTACCACGTTTCCGCCACGCGTTCGCCAGGACTTGGCGAGCGGGCGGGGGCTCGAGATGCGTCCGATAATGCTGATTATGTCGAATGTTTAGATTTAACGAGCCTCCACCTATGACTGTCATCCTGGTTGCGCCGAGGACGCGGTGGAGGTGGCCAAACGACGAAACCACCCCCACTCGGGCACATGATTAATCCCCACTAGGAACCGTCGGTACCTACGGCCATCTAAGTGGGGGTCTCCTCGGCCCGCAAGAAAGCTCTCTTGAACGAGTGGCAGCCTGGTGCCCGCAAATCTTGCGGGCGTACCTGCCCGACGCGAGCACGGGGCTGAGGTTAAAGCTTGTTCTATCGTAAGACGCTATGCCGCGACGCGAGAAGTCGGCCAATGACAGTCGATCGTTCTTCTCATATTTGACTGTGATCAAGTCCGGTTTTACCAAACGTCGCTTAATCTTAGTTTAATTCGTGTTTGTCTATATGTATTTCTAAAGTAACAGTTGGAAAGAGACAAAGAACGAATTAAGCTAAGCTTAAAGTTAAACGACGTCGGTGAAACCGGGCCTTAGCGTCTTGCGTCTTGCGTTCATTGTGGAATAAGTTTAAACCGGGAGTTCCAATCCCATTTCCAGATCGGTATCGAACCTCGATATAGAAATCTTTACGGCACAATTAATTCCCTCGTGACAGTCTAAATAAACTTTATATAAAATCTGCAAATTTGCGAGTTAAGAGGCAAACTGCCACGAGACAATAAGCCGCGGAATCGCTCTGCCGCAGAAATCTCACCCGTCGAGCAGGAAGACGCAACACGACGATTAATATTGTTAGTATCTAATGTACGTTTCTGTCTATCCTTAGAAAAGGATAGCCCGTGCCATGTCGTCTTGTTTCTGCTGCTCTGGTGCTTTGAGAACGCGCATTCGGTATTCATCCACGGAGCCCCGTCTTCGACAAAACGCGTCTAGGGGTGGCCCGGATCACAATGGCGGTATACACGTTACGTGGGGCTACGTTCGAGCTCTACGCGAGGATGCGAGCCGGATAGTCGAAGCTTTTGATGTTATTGACTCGTTTAAAATTGAACTTAAACGGCTGCGGTACAATCACGCGCTTCCCCGGCTCGTCCTAGACACTGGGAGTCCTGATGCACGCGTGGCGGGAATTTGACGGGAATTTCAAGGTATCCCACGGGACTTCCAAATACGGATGGTAGCCTGCTCCCGGAAGCTCGCGAGGCATGCCTGGCACGATCCTTGTCCGACGGGTTTCGATCGCGAAATATCATATTAACGACTTGGCCGCGACTTATCCTGAATATTAACAATCGACGCGTATCTCGGGGAGAGAGGGTTACGTTCAACAGCCAGTTTAGAGCAGGACACGCACAGTGCGCATTTTATCAATGAAGAAATAATTCAGAGGTGACTTGTATTCGCGCATCTTTGAAATTTCTTTCTTATCTGATATATTGAAATTTCTATCCCCCCCCCTCTCTCTCTCTCTCTCTCTCTCTCTCTCTCTCTCTCTCTCTCTCTCCTCTCTCTGTCAAGCGAGAAATGAATCGACATCGTTTTAACATCGGCACTGTCAAATGGACGTCGATTCGATATCGATCGTGTCGATGTCGATTCGACATCGTTTTAACATCGATCGGTGATCGCGGATAACCCAGCAAAAAATGATTCGTCGATCGATATCGAAATGATGATTGAATCGACGTCAATTTGACGGTATCGATGTCGATTCGACATCGTTTCAACATCGCTCGACGGGTCGTTTCTCGCTGGGTCGACGTCGATACTCTTTCGCGCGGCAACAATACAAAGGTCGAAAATAAATCGATAATCCAGCGCTGGTGAAGAAAGAGATTTGCGTTAATCGAATTAATATCAGGGAAACGATCGCGCGCGGCTGGAAACACTCCCCAGCGAGAAATGGCTTGTCGATCGACGTCAATATGACGGTTTCGATGTCGATCGACGAGTCACTTCTGACTGGGTCGAGTCTTTGCGCTACCAAACTTCGTCAAAAAGCTCTTGCGCCGATCGCAGTTCGCGTGGCATAAAATGTATCGCAGTGATACGCGTTCGGACTTTATTTACCAACGCGTGCTGTATCGACAGCGCGTTCTCGCGAACACGCGTTTCCGGTTCACGCCGGAATCTCCCGGTGTCGTTTCGTCGGCGGACAATCTTATTTTTCTCGCGGCTCGCTCCTGCCCCCGCCGAAAGTTAGGGTCGATAGTCGACGACGCGTATTGATTTACCGTCATCTGTACATCATGTTACGTCGTAGGGACGCCGGCGTACCAGGGCCGCATACGGCACTCCGGATGATCGTACCTTGCGCTTCTAGTTGACGTGTCACCTCTCCTTCTTTTCGTCCCTCGCCCCTCCCTCTTTCGCGCGACAATTGTTCTCACCGTCCGTGTTTGCGAGGTGCTCCACTCGAAATCATAATGAACGCCCCGACGATCCGGACGAATAATTCCCTCCTACCGAAGCGGACGGACGCAGAGTCCCATTATCGGAATTTCTCGTCCGTCAAACGACTCGGGATCGCTCGCGGCTCATCTTCCGTAAAGCTCGAGACATCTCTTTGATTACGTCACGGTATATCTTTGATTACGTCGACGATTTACGTTGCGCGAAATTGAGTCGCACGTGCGACGGGATATCGGCGCCGCTTGTATTTGACTCGCTCCACCGAGGCGACCCGCTCCAGACTCGCGTGAGACGAAGCCAGTGCTCTCCGTTCGGGATAATCTCGGGGCGATCCGCGTAGACGTAA